TATATATTCCTGCTTCCTTCACTTGGGATAATAAGGGTAGTAAGTTTCTCAAGGTCCATAATATGTGATTGATTTATGCATATATTGTAAGTCATTGCAGGGATGATGGATGGGAGGGGAAGCCCTTTGTATGACTGCCCGTAGCTGGGAAGGGCTCTGGTTGTAGGCAGGAACGGGGTTGTTCAGGGTGTGTGGCCAGCCTTTGGGAGGCAGCAACAGAAGGAAGGGGCTTCAGGACAAACAGAAAAGATGTGCAGGTAGGTTGCAGTGGTATGTATCTGAAACAGCTGGCAGACTGCTGGGAAAGGAGGCTCGTCCTGAGCCTGAATCTGTGAAATTATGGTCATGAACTGTTGTTTCTTTGCTGTATGGAGAGATTAGTGAGTAATCCCAGGACCTCCAGAGCCCAGAGAGTAAGTGAGGAGCTGTTTCTGAGGCCAATGGCAAGCCCCAAGTGGCCTGGTGAAGGAAGCTGAGGAGAGAAGGGGATCTGGTGTGCTCCTTTGAGGGAATGAGGAACATTTTTCAAAAAGGAAAGAAGTGGATTTGAAAAAAAGGTTTCGCTTGCCTTTGGCTTGGGGCACAGTGTTGTCCTTTCCAAATGCTCAAGAAATACTGATTGATTGGCTCTGCGGCAGCATGATGCAGGCAGACAGTGAAGTAAGGAGACGTGGGTTGTAAGGCAGCTGGCAAGTGATAGTGATTTTCAGGGCAGCTGAGGGTGCCCAGGGACGTAAGCCTGCTGGGACAGCAGTACAGCCTGCCACTCACTCCATGCTCAACCCAACCTGGGTGGGGGGCTGAGTGTGAGGACAGGAAGTAAGGGCACAACAGAGTGTAGCAAGGTCCTCTTGCTGAGTTTCCCTTTCTCCTCTCTCCCTCTGAGATTCCTTTGCCATTGGGCCAAGGAAGAAAGAGGACAGAGGACAACTGATTTCTCTTTTGCCACCTTTTTTAAAGAGACATTTTCACTCACTGGACACACATTTCTGTATCAACACCAGACACAAAAGTCTGATAAATCTTCCAGAAACCCTCTGTGATGAAGAACCACCCCTTTTCATTTTTCCACTCAAGTTCTAGTCTGTGTGTATTTTGGTAACAAAATACCAGGGATGGTGTCATTTATATACAATAGAAGGTTATTTCTCATAATTCTGGAGCTTGAAAGTCCAAGGTCAAGGTGTCAGCATGTTCCGTATCTGGTAGGGGTGACTGTCTCCTTTGAAGATGGCACCTTGTTGTGTCTTGATATAACAGAAAAATGGCAGGACAGAGGGCTCAGCTAATTCCCTTGAGTTCCTTTAACACTAATTCCATCGATATGGGCAGAACCCTTGTGATTCATCATCTCCTGGAGGCCCCACCCCTCCACACTATGGCTCAGAGCCGGTGGATGCTTAGGGGGCTGTTCCCCACTCAGACCCTGGGTCTTCATTTCTACCCAAAGTTCTTTGAACTTAAAAGACTCATATGCATTCGATCAGAAGGTAGTAACATCCTTGCTCTGAATTTATCAGTTCGCGTTGGATCGTTCACATTGCCCCGGCTGTCTTCCAAATGGTAATTGGGGTGCTGATGTGTCATCTGCGGAGTGGAGGCCCCAGAGTTCCTCAGCTTTTTTCCTGCTCTGCAACTCTTAGATGTCTCATAACTTTTAATGAATATGTCAAAAGTAGAAACTATGCCATAACAAATGTCAGCATGTGTATAAATTTTCCATTCTTTATGAATAATTTCCTTCTGATATATCGCTGAGAAGTGGATTACTAGAAAAGAGGCTTGTTATTCCCTTTCTTTTGTTAGAGGAGGGAAACAACAGAGCCTAAAATACAGTAGCTGACAGTATGGCAAAATGTATTGTATTGGCAGAGTTGAAGAAATGGGTCTTGCAAACCCTGGGGCTCTCTAAGGCACCGGCCCTCCATATTTTGTCATATTGTCTTTCTAGGAATACTTGTTAGACTCTTTTCTTTAATCACCCTTTTCTCTATTATATCAATTGTAAGGACTAAATTTTGTCCAGGTAGAGTTGAGCTTTGGCGAGCTACAAGGTATTGCAATATTGGCTGGGGAGATGGGTCAGTGGAATAAGCGCTTCCCTGGCAAGCGCAAGGGACTGAGTTCAATTCCTGGTTCTGCCAAAAAAAAAAAAAAAAAAAAAAAAAAGGTATCACAATATCAAAGGTTTATTTTGGACCTGAAGAGCCAATTGTCTGACCCTTGTTGGGAGCTCATGCTGTAAGCCGTGATGAAAATTCTCCCTTGTTCTCTCTCTGTAACGATCAAGACTGTATTTCCTGTACATTCAGAGCTCCATATTCAGCAAGGAATGAAATTGGACTGTTTTTAAGAGTAAGCAATCACATTGTCTTATAAGAAGAGGCTCCAGGCCAGTAGAGGAATTTGTTTCTAGTGATATCTCTGACTGCTCTGCTGGGAAGGCCGGGGGGATTGCCATCCATATCTTTCATGGTGCTAATGACCATTGGAAAAATGCTTCCTGGCAATCAGAGTGCTACTGTGCAGAGAGAATTGTAAAGGACTTTTCTGAAGAAGATTCTTTAAATGTCCATGTTCTCATGAGGGAAAGATGTGTTTGATACCATCATATAATGGCATGCAATTATTTAACAGCCAGCCCTGCATCTATGGAGGGAAAGTGGGGGTGATGTGAAAGTACTCTGATGGGGTAGAGTATAAGGAGGTGGCCTTGGTGCCTGTGGTCCAAGAGTCTCCTCATACCTCCTGCATTCTGAGAGAAGACATGGTCTTCCAGCATCAAGCACATGATATCTAGGACTTACAGCATGGTGCTCTTGAAGCTAATGGAAAGGGGGACGAGGAGCACCAAAGGACAGCCAGGCCTGAGCTGAAACCTTGTGTTGGGTGCTTTGTTGTTGGTGGCCCTTGTGACTGCAGAACTAGTCATTGATCTGAACACAAGACAGATCATTTGCTAATCAGGATCTGCTGAGATTAGTGCTGGGTGCTGAGAATGATCATGCCCTTTCAGGTACTAGTATGCATGGTGCATCCAAGAATATTGTGTGTGTGTGTGTGTGTGTGTGTGTGTGTGTGGTATTGGGACCAGTTTGCAGGGTGGTCCCAGTGCATATAAGACAAAATGGACAGTGAGATGTGCCAGCTCTCATTGCTTCACTGCACCTTCATGGGCAGACAGGGTGGCAGGAAGAGCCCTGAGGACTCAACGGTGGGCGTCTGTGTACTGGCGAGGTAACTCAGCAAGTCATCCAGTGTGTCTCTGAACTTCAGTCTCTGTGTTTGTAGACTGGGGACATCACTTCTGCCTTCTCTGCTTGCTAGCCGGTCATGATGGTAAGACTCAACAGAGAGTAGAGAAACATTCATACTGCGCTTGTTATTAGTGACATGTCAGTTATGTCATTTATTCATTTGTGGCACTGACTGGTCACGATCCCAGTCACCCCTTTGGACTATTTAGCCCCTCTCAGGATGGGCGAAGATACTGCCTCTTTATTGCAGGTCATCTCTCCCAGTAGGTGGGTATCTGGTCAACTGTCTCACAAACAAACATCTTTAGTAATCAGTTTTCTGTCACCTACATATTGTAACACAGGTGAGTTACTGTAAAGTAAAGCATATTTTTTGAGTCTATAACTGAGAGAATTAGACCCTGAATTTCTGACCACGCTTGTCACTTCTCATAGATGTGTCGTAAAAGCCAAGCCGTAGCCTTGAGAAATCTTCCCACCTCTTTACAGCTGCTCCTTAAACCCGCTTTGCCTGGTTATTACAAAATGCTGTGTTATGAAAAGTAAACGAAGCATCCAGTGTTACAACTACACTGTATCATAAATTCTGCATAATACCAATTTTCCAGCTGTAATAGATTTTAACCCACCATAAATTTGCAACAGATTTGTTTATTTACAGTTTACAAGGACATTTTATGGATAATTTGGCTGATCAGAATCTTTTTAGAAGATGATTCAAGCACACACAGGCCTATGCCATCCCGCTGGAGATGAGGCCTTTCCTCTGTTCCCACTCAGGGACACCAGCTCATCCCGACATGGGCAGAGCCCTCCCTAATGAGTACCTCCCCTTCCACATCGTTGCCTGGGGTATGTGTTCTCTCTGATCCTGCAGCACCTGAGCATCCCTCCCTTTACAGTGTCAGTGTGAAGTGGTTCCATGAAGACTCACTCTTCACTACACATTGGGGCCTTCATTAAATGCTGAGCAAGGAGCAGGCCCCCCAGTAGACACTGAATGAATGCCTAATGTCCTTTGAATCAGGTCGTCTTGCACTTGGGGGTTGCTAAAATGTTTAACCCAACAAATCAAGCTACTTAAGAGCTAATGCACAGGTACTTGCTCAGTGATTGGAGACAAGGCAAACTCTGGGGAGAATGTGTCCTCCGCCCTGAAGGTTGGCTTGTTCTCTTGGAGCTAGCAGAGCCCTTGCTGCCTTCACTGGCAGCTCTTGTCATTTTTCCTGATCAAAGCTGTCAGTCTGACTAGCTGACTGTAAAAGCCAAGTCCAGAAAGCAGCTCGTAGGTCCAGTGTTTCACTTCTGTGCTGCATCCTGCTTTGCCCGCTGTTTCACCCATGATGCCTGTTACCATGGCCACCATGTGTTGCCCTACTCAGCAACCATGAAGTGGGTCATCACGTGCCCCCCACCTGCAGCTACACTGTCTGCTTGAGGAGGGCAGGTGTGGTGTTCCTCTCTTCAGCCCCCTTACTATCAGCCTCTGTAGCTCAGGAGAGTATGGAAAATTGACATTGAAGAAATATTTATTTGAGCAACTGATATCCAAAGATATTTATTAAGAAAGCAGGAAAGTACAATGAAATAACCACTACCAAGGGAGGTGACAGCCACAGCCAGGGAGGTGATAACTGTAGCCAGGGAGAAAATAACCACAACCAGGACAGGAAACCACAACCAGGAAAGAAAACATAGTCTGTTTGGACTGTCATAACAAAAGTATCATGAACAAAGTGACCTCTAAACAACAGAGATGTGTTGCGTGTGGTTCTGGAGGCCATAAGTCCTAGATCGAGGCCCTGGTGGTTTTGGTATCTGGTAAGGGTTCCCGCTGTAGTTTGTGGATGGAGGGGGTCTCACTGTGTCCTCAGGTGGTGGGAGGAGCAAACAAGATCCCTGGGGCTTCTTTTATAAAGATTCCATTCCCAATTATAAGGCTCTGCCCAGTAACCTAAACCCCTTCTAATGGATCCACCACTTAATACTAGTGCACTGGTGATTAGGTTTAGCATGTAGATTGGGGGAACACAATGATTTGTAGGTAATAGCTACAAGCAAAGGGCACTGAGAATGCAGGGCTGGGTGCAGGCAACAGCCAGGACTTTCTCCTTAGAGGCGATGCCACAGGCAGGCATTGGCAGAGAGGGCGGACACAACCTCAGGGCAGGGCCAGAGGAGGGCATTCTCGGTGGAGGGCAACAGCTGAGAGATAGGGTTAAAAGGTGACCTTTGGGGTCCATGGAGGGAGTAAGAAGTGGCTGTCCTTTTGGAAGCTCTGTGAAGTTACTTCCAACATTTCCTTTGCTTTTTTCAGCTGATGAAGATTGTGAATGAAATGTGCCCCAATATCACCAGGATTTACAACATTGGCAAAAGCCATCAGGGCTTGAAGCTGTATGCTGTGGAGATTTCAGACAACCCTGGAGAGCATGAAGTCGGTAAGGAGGGCCTCTCCCTCACAAAGCTGAGCAGTGGCTTTCCCCAGGTGTGAGGTGACTCATGAAGCAGGGCCTGAGCTAGCCCTCAAACAACCACCTCAAGTAGACAGATTCTGCAGACAGACAGGTCTGGGAGCTATGAACCTTTCAGCTTATGACAAGAGCTGCTGGGGTATTTAAGCTAGAAATACTTTTCTTTTCTCCAAAGGAACCATATTTGATGCTGTATTCTTTGCCTCTGAGACCACTCATAAAAGCCATAGAAGACAGTAGCTAGGGATAGCAAGACAGAATCTACTTCCAGGAAGACTTTCTGGACTGTGATCATGGATGGCGGTTCCCTTGAATTTATTCATTTTTTAAAATATCAACCCTATCTCTATGTCCTGTTTTCAGCCACTTCCTCTTCAATGCCTCCTAATCTGACCTCCAACAGGCTGGATGCTCTCTCTGTTTTTTGTTACTTTGTAAATATGAGAGCTCTTCTGAAATCCACTGAAATTAGGTAAAGATTTCTCTGATCCACTCAACTTTAGCATTTCTCCATATCTCAAGTGTTCCCTCAGGAGTCTCTTTCAAGGCGCAAAGGCCTTCCCTTTGGATACAGTCACCTCTCCTCATGAGCAGCAACCTGGACCAAGAGGGGAGAAGAGGTGTGAGCCCATGCCCAGCACATGGTGCCCCTATCTGGGTCTGTTCAGTTGCTATGACAAAATGTCTGAAACTGGTTCATTTATAAATAACAGAAATTTATTTCTCATCATTTTGGATGTTGAAAAGTGAAAGGTCAAGGTACCAGCAGATCCAGTGCCTGCTAAGGGCCAGTTTCTCTCATGGTAGAAAGTAAAAGGGCAAGAAGCCTTGGATAGTACCGTTGAGCCTTTCTTTAAGGGTAGGAATCCTCAGGTACCTCCCAAAGGCCCCACCTCTTGATACTGTGATGGTGCCTCCATTCCAGCATTCAAATTTTGGAGGGACGCATGCATTGCATGAAACCATAGTGCCCCTCACAGTTCAGAAGCTGAGCTTTGAGTGGGGAGACACTCAGCCCTTTTTACCAAAGTGTTCCCCAGCTGACCAGCCTGTAGAGTATTGTGGAGTGTTGTCTACTTGCATTCATTTATCTTTGTGTTCTTGTGAGAGTTTGTAGGATGTTCCTTTAAGCAAAACAGCTGCAGGTCTGGGGCTGCACCTTGGTGGCAAAGTGCTTGCCTAGCATGTTCAAGGCCTTGAGTTGTTCTATCCTCATTAGAAGAGAAAAAGAGGGAGAGAGAAGGGGGTGGGGAGAGAGAGAGACAGAGAGACACAGAGAAAGAGAGAGACAGACAGACAGAGACAGAGACACAGGGACAGACAGACAGAGACAGAGACAGAGACAGAGACAGAGACAGAGACAGAGGCAGAGGCAGAGACACAGAAAGGGAGACAGGGAGAGATAGAGACACAGAGAGACAGAAACAGAGAGAGACAGACAGACAAACAGACAGACAGACAGACAGACAGACAGACAGACAGAGGGAGAGAGAGGTAGGAAGGGAGAGACACACACACAAATACCTAAATACTGTGTTACTTTATTATTATTAAATAATGGGCATGATGACCCTGTGGCTAATTTCATTTAAGGTTTTTATGTTCCTTTCCTTACATACCTGACTAGTTGCCTTGACAAAATTTTGGGGCAATTTGAAAGAATACCTGGTGCATAACGCTAAGTCATCCTGAGGCTGTGACTGACACCCTGTAGTCCCAAGCCAGCTGTGCTGCCCTCCCTGTTTCTGTCCAGGGGAGCCTGAGTTTCACTACATTGCTGGAGCTCATGGCAACGAGGTACTTGGCCGTGAGCTGCTGCTGCTGCTGCTGCAGTTCCTATGCCAGGAGTACTTGGCCCGGAACATGCGCATCGTCTGGCTGGTGGAGGAGACCCGGATCCACATCCTGCCCTCCCTGAACCCTGACGGATATGAGAAGGCCTATGAGGGGGTAAGGGCACCTGTGCTCACCCAGCACAACAGCAAGGCTTCAGCCAGTGTGTGCAGCTCTGAGGTCCTGGGGTCCCACCTTCTGAGCCTGCTTTTCCAAGGTCTCTCTGCTGAGCTGGGGAAACCTTGCAGTTTATGAAGGATGCAGTGCAGAAATTGCGGCTTATGGTGACCCTGAGATGGAGACCTGCCCACTGACTGGAAAGAGTAAGCATGAACCACAACACCGTCATCTATGCAGTGACAGTAGTAGATGACAGCAACACCGTGTGCTGGTGGAGCGCTAAGGTGTGTGCTAACCTTGGTCGCTACCTTTTTTGGAGATGCCACTGGAGATTGAACCCAGGGAAGTCTGAGCTACCTCTATAGAACTTTTCTATTTTTATTTTTTGATAACGAATCTTGAATGCTTCCCAGTGGGCTTAAACGTGATTCTCCTGCTCAGATTTCTGAATAACTAGGATTACTGTAGGTGTATGTCACCATGTCTCACTGGTTATGACCATTATTGCTCTCATCCATTGTTGAAGGATAGCTGTGTTTATTATTCCAAGATATTATTTATATTTCCTGTTGTAATTAGGAGACAGGTTTTGTGTAGGTCATGGGTATGTATAAAATCTGCATATATATAATTATGTAGTGAAGATAGTATTATGTCATGTTGTGTACCCATCCTGGTATCTTCCCATATCTATGAGTAAAATGGACAACTTTATTAAAACAAAGGCAATTGTCAAATGAAAGCCTTGAGACACAGAAGTGCATTTATGTTTACTGGTGCAGGTGGTTAGAGATATACAATGCTAAAGAGCCAGGACCATGGCCAGGATGGGGGGAAGGCACTGTGCTGCATCAGTACTGTATTGTGGCTGCAGTGGTGAGGTCTTAGGTTGCTCACCGCTCAGAAATTCCACTGAGCAGCATAGGAAAAAGGAGGCAAGAGGTGGTAGAAGGGTTTCAATGCCTCTGAGCTCCATGTCCAGCAGTAGCTTTCTGGGTGCACTCTTGGGAGTGATTTGCCTGGGTTACCAGTTCACCCACCAGATAAATTAGTAACAAGGTCTTCAGCATTCTCCTATGGATGGCATTTTTGGGTCAATGGGTGTCTGGAGGCTTACAGACACAATCCGATGGAGACAGACATAGACACGTCTCATGTGGTAGGGAGTTTGTTTTTCTGAAGTCTGGTTCTTCAGCCTCTGAATCACGTCTCAGGGCTCAGAGCTGGGAGGATGGTCTCTAGGACGCTGGACCCACGATGGAATCGACATCAACAACAACTTTCCTGACTTAAACACACTCCTCTGGGAGGCAGAGGATCGGCAGAATGTGCCCAGGAAGGTTCCCAATCATTACATTGCCATCCCGGAATGGTTTCTGTCTGAAAATGCCACGGTGAGTAAAAACACCCCCATCTGCAGAATATGCGAGGCCAAGACCCCCTGTGGTGTTTGCAGAAGCTATGACATTTAAGAACTGGATGAAGCCATTTGTTTTCTTTCTTGTTTTCTCCTAAAGTAAGGAAGCATGTTAGGCAATAACCACCTTTGAAATTGGTATTTAGAGGAGATTCTTTGTAGGAATCATTAATTATTTCTTTACAACCTCACACTGTGCTTCAAAACAAAACAAACTTCTCAGAAGTCCATGTGTTTGTTAGACTCACTGTTTCCCTCGTTCTTGTCAGTTCTCCTTCCATGAAAGGATCCTCTGCCTTTACCAGCTGCTTGTAGATCTCATTTTTGTTCAAATAAATCCCAGAGAATATACTGCATATTGTGCTTTTTTGGAAACATACATGAAGTTGGGTGAAAAATGCTTCCTCAAAGTTCCTTAGCTCTCATTTCACAAAGAATACAATGTAGAAGAAGCAATTTTCATGAAATGGCCCATGCCTATGACTGCCTCTCCCTCTTCCTTTTGCTTGTACATGACTTTTCACACGATTACACTAACAGGTATATACGTTAGTGTTAGGTCCAACTCCAGCAACAGAAAATCACAGTGATGCTTACTAAGATAGAAGGTCACTCGGTTTTTCATATAACAGGGCTCTGAAGACAGAGGCCCAAGCTTGTAATCAGGGTTTGCAAGGGAAATAATATAATACAGGATGTATAATTTATAGGATTATTTTATAATAGTCACCCTAAGAGTCAAGTTCAAAAGAGTGCAAGAAATCTGTCCTCACATGAAAGACCCAAAGAATCCAGCTGAGGGCCCGGGTCCCACAGCAATGTCCTACGTGAGTCCAGCTGAAGATGGAGAGTCCATAAAATGCACCCCCAAGTCCAGCTGAAGACTGAGAGCCCATAAAATGCCACCCCCCTAAGCCCAGCTGGAGGCTGAGAGCCCAAGGTAATGCTTAATTCAAGCCTGTTTCGTGGATCTGCCCCGCAAAAGCCCAAATTCCAGTGGTGGAAGCTAGAAAATCTATGCCAGCAGGATGGAGGATCTGTGCTACATGGGCTGAGGGATCTTTACTGGAGCTAGGAAGTGATGGTGAAAGTAAGAAGCAGAAAAGAAAAAGTAAGAAGCAGAGCTCCTCCAAAAAGCATCACAGCCACCCTCAGCAACAGTTCAGTCTCAAACTCCTCTGATGATGAAAACAGCTCAGTTCATATTAGAAAAGCCAGCACAAGTGTCTTCTGTTCCCCTGGACACTGAACAGTATACCACCTTCCCCTCCAGAGTTAGGAAGTGATGCTCAAAGCAAGGACCAGAGCTCCCCCAGAGAGAACTGTAGCCATCCTCAGTGATGTCAGGGTTCTGAGCTCCCTTGATGATGACAGCAGCCGAGTTCATCAGGAAAACCAGCATGATAAGATCCTCGGAGAACCAACAAAAAAACCAACAGCTCCCAACAACCCTAGGTCTCACTGAGACAGCCATGGTCCTCGGGGGCCTGCCCCTTAACTCAGCTCTTTAAGTGCCTGCTTCAACAAAGCAGTCAGGCTCAGGTTGCTGTGGTTCAATTCCCAGAACTCAAGCCAGCCAAATCTGCCCTGAAGGCATTAGGAGAAAAAAAAAATCCTTCTGCCATTTTTGGACTGGAGAGATGGCTCAGTAGAATAAGCGCTTGCCTGGCAAGTGCAAGGACCTGAGTTCAATCCCTGGTTCTGCCTAAATAAATAAAGTGAAAGCATTTTAAAAAATGAAATAAAATAAAGTTTTATACTTATATCTGGTAATCTGAACAATTAATTTGAAGATAACAATATGCAACATAACAACCATTGTTGAATTCTTACCATTTTGTTGGGTGAAACTGTATATTATTTCTAATATTTTTTTACTATTTTTATTCTCCTTAAAAAAATAAAGAATTATTTTTATGCAAGAAAAAAGACTGGACATGGTGGCGCACGCCTGCAATGCCAGCTCTTGGGAGGCTGTAAATAGGTGGATCACTACGCATCCCATCTAGTAGTGAGGCCCTGAACACCTTGTAGACCCTCCCCTAAAATACAAAAATAAATAAATAAATAGCAAAAAAAAACAAAAAAAAAAAACAACCCCAAATTAATGAAACAATACAGAAGAAAAAAGGAAGTAATTTGTCTGCAGGAAGAAGTATTGGATAAAACTTGTCACAGTAAATTCTCAGTGAAACTTTAGGATATAGATGATTCGTTTTCAGAGCAAAAAAGAGTGTATGTTAAATAAGATGCCCACAGCATTAATCATACCACAAAAGATTAATAAATTGAAGTGCATCCAAAGCAGAAAGTCTACTCATCAAAAGATTTTATAAACTATAACGGCAAATGATCAGCTGGAAGAAGTTATTTGCAAATTATGTAACTGGGGATTTGAACTTTTAAAAATATGCAAAGACTAACAATAAGATAAATGTAAACAACTCATTAGAAAATTGGGCAGAAGATACGTAGAGGCAGTTCACGGAGGAGGAAGCATATGGCTGATAAGCACAAAAAGGATTCCACAGCACTAGCACGGAGGAAACAGAGCTGAAGGAACATTGGATATCCATCAGTTGGCAAAATTAGGAAGTCTGACAGTATCCAAGTGTCAGACAGGATGAAGACAATGGGTTCTTTACTCACTGAGGTGCGTGAAAATTAGTGCACAGACTTGGGAAAGAATTTGATTACTCTGTAAAATAGGCATATTTATATCCTTTGGGAATACACACAAATTTCACATGGATTTTTCAGCACACGTATACCATGAGACAGTGTGAGAAAGCCCACCCCACACTAGTCATCATAGCATATGAGTGAACATTACTGAAGCTTAGCATTATGAGCCTAGATAAGTGAAATCTTCGTGTTGAAATGAAAAAAATATCTTCAATCAACATCGAGGATTAAAGGGCCAGCCAAATAGCTCAGTGGATTAAAGCGCCTGCAAGTAGGCGCAGGGCTGTGGTCCCATCCTCAGGTCTGCTCTGCCGGTCCTGCCCCCCTACCCCGGGATGCGCTGAGCTGGAAATTGAGACTGGGCAGTGGCGCGCGCCTGTAATCCCAGCTCTTGGGAGGCTGTACACAGGTGGATCACTATGAGTCTGATCTAGTAGTGAGACTCTGAATACCCTGTAGACCCTTCCCTAAAATTAAAAAAAAAAAAAATCAAGGATTAATCTTAAGAATTCATAGCTTCAATTAACATCAAAGATCAATCTTTGAAACATAAAATAAGTGGGAAAAAGAAGACAACCAGAATAGTTGTCCCTTTCTTTTTTCCTGTTACATCTGAAGCAAGTAAAGCCAAGCAGTGTAGTTTTAGATATTCACATGTGCGTAAGACAAAAGAGGGTGAATGTGGATTGTGTGGCTAGGATGCGGGGACCTCCTCTGCAGAGCAGGCGGAGTGTGAAAGGACGGAGTCAGAGCAGCTGCCGGGGTTCAGGTCTAGGGCGGGTGATAGGCTTGTAGCCCAGGCCGTTATTGAGGCTATGGGAGGAGCTGGGTTCCATGATTAAACCATTGTAGCTGGTTTTATTCATAAAACAAGAATGAAGCTTAATGAATCCCAGCAAATGCATTGCATCCCAAATTAGCCTTTATAATGTGCAGTTAGATGATTTCCAGTATTTGCTTCTCCATTATCAATTTTATCTTCCTAGAAATTTCTGGTAGATATTTGATTTACCAATCAGGTCAGTATTTGACCACAACAGATTTTCCAAGTTTAGCTTTTAATTTTATCAGCTTCCTTTGTTTTCTTAACTTTTTTTGTGGAAAAAATGTCAATACACAGAATTAGGGAAAGCTCTAGAGGAGCCACATGTTCCCTGCATCAGCTTTGACAATTACCAATTCATGCGTCACCTGCACCTTCTCCCACATTCTCTTCTTCCCCTTCTTAGTAAAGCAAGCTCCAGGCAGCAGGTCTTTTCATTTATAAATATTTCAGCAAGTATTTCTAAAAAGTAAGGACTCACTTAGGCCGTAAGATATCACCATTATATCAAAATAAGTTTTTCTTAGTATTATAACAATCCAATTAATGATAAATGATTACACTAGTTAAACTAAATAATAATAAGATGATAACAGGCCATAAGATTATTACTATCATATAAAAATATTTTTTCTTCATATTATGAAATAGCTGGCAAGTGTTAACACTTCCTGGTATTGATCAGTGAATCTTTTCTCTCTCTTCTCTGTCTGCCCATCTCATCCTCTATTTCTCTTTCCCTCTTTTCTCTTTCCTCTTTACCGCTCAGTTTGTTTAAAGCAACATTCAAATAAATCCCATTTGTTGACTGTCTTAAGTCAGTGTAAGTCTCCTTTAAGCTACGGGCTCTGCCCTTTCCGCTTTCTGCCCTTTTCCTCTTGTAATTTCTTCATGGTGATGTATCCTTGCTTGTCTAGATTCTCTGTCACATGCTGTACTCTCTGGGGGCAGGTGATGGCATTTCTGTGATGTCATGTACACGCTGCTCTGTTTCCTGTATGGCAGTGACACTAAACTAGACTAGCTAGACAAGGCAGTGGCAAACTGCAGTCCGGGCCAAACCCACTTACGCCTGTTGTTATCCATGGCACGCTTTTGGGCTTTGCACATGGTGCTTTGCTATAAGCCATGCTGTGTAGCCATGATGGGGAATACATGATGCACAAAGCCTAAAATATTTACTATCCCAGTCTTCTGGGAAGCACCTGCCAATCCCTGGGCTGCAGCTGGGTCAGATTCAGGAAAGATACCCTTAGGTGTGTGCTCTTCCACTTGGAGGCATGCTACATTCGATACTGTCCCTCTCTTGTGCTATACATAGCTGTGAAGGAACATGCCGGTCTCATAAATTTACTGGCATCATGGGATGCTACTTTAGCATTGCTTCTTTGCTTCTTTGGCATTAACTGGACTATCCTACCATAGAAACCAGGCACTTCTCTGGTTCTGTTGTTTTTAATCTATTATTTCCACAAAGCCATTTTTCCCAGGGTAGATTTTAAAATTCTAACATTTCTTAGATCATTCCCTAAAATTACTGCTTTTTACACATATGCCCCTGCGTTGAAAGTGAGGGTGGCAAAGCACTTTCTTATTTCGTTTGTTGGTTTCATGTTCATAGGTGGCCATGGAGACCAGAGCTGTCATAGCCTGGATGGAGAAGATCCCCTTTGTGCTGGGTGGCAACCTTCAAGGGGGCGAGCTGGTGGTGGCGTACCCCTATGACATGGTGCGCTCCCAGTGGAAGACCCAGGAGCACAGCCCCACGCCCGATGACCATGTGTTCCGCTGGCTGGCGTATTCGTACGCCTCTACGCACCGCCTCATGACAGATGCCAGGCGGAGGGTGTGCCACACAGAGGACTTCCAGAAGGAGGAGGGCACTGTCAACGGGGCTTCCTGGCACACCGTTGCTGGAAGTAAGTCTCAGATCAGCTCTGCCTGGCCTCACAGGGAGTAAGGAACACAGACTGCTGGCCCAGCAGGAACCCCACAGGTGCCCCCTACTCTGTCGCCATATTCTCAGTTACATTGCAGATAGGACCCACCTCAGTTAAGCAATTAACCAGGCACAGGCCCTTTACAGATTCTCCTTTGTTCTTCACCAGTCTTTGAGGTGGGGGTGGCTTACTCCTCGTGTTATAAACGGAATTGCTGGGCTGCGGAGATTGGTTGGGATTTGCTCAAACAGGAAGAGGGAAGAGATGAGATCTCTTTGGTCAAAATTTTATCCACCAAGCTATTCAATTTTATAAGACCAGAGATGGTATGGTGGTGGACTTTCAACTGGAGAGAAAACCCAGAGAAAGGGCCAAGTATGTGAGTGCTGGTGCTGAGGATTTAGGCCGAGTGCTAGGATGGCAGCCATCCATGCTGTGGACCTACAAGGGGTGAGGTGCCCATCCCCAGCTCAGGTGTGATGTGGCTGAGCAGGACATATGTTCTGAGAGCCCCTCCTGAGGTAAAGATGCTTTTGTGTGCATCTTCTGTGCCCCAGAGGTCAGCAGGCCACAGTGTGTGTGGACTGTGGAACATGAGGTGTTGCTTCTGGGACCCACCCAGGGCTGGACAGCCTTGGAGCACAGATTGAGAATTGCCTCACAGAGGCCAGAGGACCTCATGGTCCACATGTGAGGATTAGCATGTAGTTCCCTGTCTCAGGCTATTCCTAGGCCAGGACTCCGAAGGCAGGAGGCATAAGATGGTGCATTACCTTTGTACTGACTGGACTGCAAGATCCCTGTGTAATGTGCATATATATATATATATTTTTTTTTTCTTCTGGAGAATTTGTTAAGCCAATGATGAATATGAAAAATATTCTATGTCAGATAGTCCTGGTTTCAAATCACTGGCTTCATACCACTTAGATGTGTGGGAACTTCTGCAGGTCACCATACCCCGCTATACTTTTTCCTTAGGAAACTGGGCACCATGATAATGATCATAATGACAACAAGGCGGGTAATGACGATGGTGTTGTCTCTCCAGGATGCTGTGAGGGTTGTGTAGGTGACAGATGTGGAAGCCTGTAGTGTCTGGCTTATCAGGGACACCCTGTTAGCGTAAGTCCTCCTGCCCTCCCCTTTCTGTCTTTCAGGGCATGCTCACCTCTTTTGTGGACCTATTTGTACTCTCTGTTTCACTATAACAATTAGCCTTAAGATTATTTAACGTGGCTAGAACTTCAGCCTCCTCACACTTCGCATGTATATTTCTACCCTTGGAAAAGAAAAACACCAGAAATATTTGTTCTCATGATCATGTAAAAACACCCATTGAAAGCTTACCATGTGTTCTTGGTTGCAGACCAAATGGAGACAACTTTTTCATCACCATCATGATTTTGCTGTATACAAAATAAAAAATAAATGCAGATCTCTATCAAGAAAATTTCATAATGGCAGAAAGCATTTTTAATTTTCAAAATCTACCTACAAAAATCTGTAAGTAGGCTGGCCAAACAGCTCAGCAGATTAAAGTGCCTGCAAACAGGTGCAGGGGTTGGGGGTTTGATCCCCAGGCCTGCCATGACAGCCCTGCCCCTGGGGCATGCTGAGGCAGCAACTGAGACTGACTGTGGTGGTGTATGCCTATAATGCCAGCTCTTGGGAGGCTGTAAACAGGAGGATCACTACAAGTCCGATCTAGTAGTGAGACCCCGAACACTCTGTAGACCGTGCCCTAAAATACAAAAGAAAAAAAGAACCTGTAAGCAAAATATGTTTATTTTTGTGGTTGCTGTGGTCACATTGGGTCTGGACACAGCCAGATCTGCTGGCATCCAGTCCAGCGTCACATTAGGGAAAGTTGGATTTCACACAGTTGTATGCAGCATTTGACATTTATTCTCTATCAATCATGCTTTCCATTGCAACAGGGACTTGGTGGAAGAGCCGTGCGGTGGCTCAAGCCATCGTAATCATTCTTTTTTCTGGAAGTGTTTTGGAGTCACAGATTCATTTCTTTGTAGAGTAATATAATGCAATTTCTAATTCTCCCCTCCACATCTTGTGTTCAGCTCTTTCTCATTCTTGGTGTGCTGTACACAGTGGTTAATGGTGAGGGGCATAGTGGAGAGAAAGGTTCAGTAAATTTCAAAGTGCACATCACTGGTACTTCATGCATTTTAAGTCCAACGTGATGTCAAGCTGTTGCTCAGCTGTGGTCTACAGCCTGCCTCCATAATAAGGCAAGTGTTGGGGAGATCTATACACAGAGGCTAAGAAATGTGTAGTGCCGACTTCCCTATAGAAGATGCCAAGGAGGGGAGTCCAGGTAAAGAGAGAACAGAAGGGATGCCTTTCCCCATCCACCACTGAAGGCTTATCAGAATGCCCAGGATGTGTCTCAGCTTGGTGTCTACAGCATAACAGGCAGGAAGCAGATGCAGCCACTCTGCAGTGTGTGCTTAGCACATTTATATTGGTACTAGCAAGACCTAAGAGGGTGGGAAGAATGAGATACAGAGAAATGTCCAACACTCCTCGGAGTCAAGGCCTGTTCTAGCAACTGGAGCTGTTTCCTGTTAGCTCCAAACGCCACTGGATTCCACACTGTGAAGTGTTTGAGTTTTGTTTTATTTTTGCAGCATGAGGATTGAGTCCCAAGCCTTTACAAGACCTTTATCCTCAGCCCTCTTTGTTTATTTTTTAAGACAGGGTCTTCCTAAATTGCTAAATTGCTTAGGCTGGACTCTTAACTCCTGACCCCTCTATCTCAGCCTCCCAGAGTGTTGGGATTATAGGTGTATGCCAGTACACTCAGCCAACATGCTGCAGGGTGGCTGGATGGATTGGCCTGGTGTCACCAGATCAGGCCCTTGTCATGGATTTCCCATGAACTTGACATTCACACTAACCTACTTCCTCTAATCCACTGCTCTTCCTTTTCCTCGTTTTGTTACAACAGACCAGAAGTCCAGGATTCCCTAGAGGGAGTGGCTGGAAGTTGGATTCTGGCAATGTGATGACTGATCTTGATTGTCACCTTGATTGGACTGAGACATACTTAAGAAATTAGTAAAGCATACTTCTGGGTTTCTTTGTGAATATTTTCACCAACAGTCAAGTTGTAAAAACTCTAATTTCAATAGTGGATCAACCCATTAAGGAGTTAATCAGGTGGCATTTTTGGAGGTGACAGAAATAGGCAGTGATTCCATTTGAAAGGAATAGGTCACAGGGATGTGACCTGGGGACTCTCTGGCCCTTGACCCATTTTTCTCTGGCTCGTTCCCTTCTTGGGCTTCTGGCTCTTGTCACTGAACAGTTTGCCCCACCATGTTCTTCCGCCATGATGTTCTGCTTTACCTCAGGCCTCCAGCACTGTGACCAGCCAGCCATGCACTGAAACCTCTGAAACTATCAGCCCAAGGAAATCTCTACTCTTTTATATTACAAAAGGTGTTTTGTCACAGCCAGGGCAAGCTGCCTGACACAGGTAGAGAGTGGCCATGTGTCTGGTGCCATGAGGCTCTGACCTTGGTGGTTAGGCAGTGGGGCGATGAGCAGTTACTCTTGATATCCCAAAACCTGACTGCAAAACTGACATTTCTCCTGAGCCTCACAGGAGAGAGGGGAAAGGAGAACTGTGTCTAAGGTCTGTGCGAGTGAAGTGCTGGAGAAGCTGGTGCTTTTCTCAGTGCACGCGGAGAGCTCTGTGCACCCAACTGCACCTTTGTGGCTGTACCTTGGGGAGCTCACTAGAGGAGCTTTTCCTAGATGATCCCCCCCCCCACCACACACACACAGAGTATGGTTGGTTCACCTGTTGAGAAGCAACCATGTTGGAAAGGGGCGGGGTGTAGCTTAGTGGTCGAGAGTATACTTTGTGCTTAGCATAGGTGAAGCCCTGGATTTGATACCTAGAACCCAATAGAAAGAAAATGTTCAGAAGAAAGCAATGAGGACATCATGCTGTGTGACACTCCTTCATTTCACAAATATCAGGTAATTTTAGTGGCTTGAATGATGGTCTACCCTAAAATATGTTGGCTTCATAGGCTGTTGAAACTGTGACTGTTACCTTATTGGAAAGGTGGTCTTTGAGCACATATTTATGATAACGGCCTCAAGATGGGTTGTCTGGGTTATCTAGAAGGTCCCCAAAGTCAGTGGGAAGTGTCTCTGTAGGTGACAAGAGAGAAGTTAAACAGAGACCAGAGAGGCAGTTATTGAGGAAAGCTGCCATAAGCCAAGGAATACTTGGGTCACCAGAAATGGAGGAGCCAGGAGGGCTTAGTCAGCTTTTTGTCACTGTGACAAAATACCTGATATAAAAAGCTATAAAGAAGTTTATTTTAGCTAATGGCTTCCGAGAGCCTTGGTCCATGGACACTTGGCCCCATTGCTCGTGGTGGGCAGAAATGTCATGGCCAAATGGTGTGGAAGGGAAAGATTGCTCACCTGATGGTAGCAGGAGGCCAAAAGACCAAAGAGCCTAAGAGGGAGGGGCCCGGGACCCAATGTCACCCCAAGGCCACGGCCCCACGATGAAGTCCCCCAAGAAGGATCTGCCTCCTGTTTCTGTACCATTGAATAGTGATCTTGTGAGTGAGTTCAGAAGCTGCTGCTGCAGTCCCCTCTCTAGGTCTCATCTCTGAATGCTGCTCTTCAGAAGGGACATGGGGGGACACTTCATACTTAAAGATCTTGAGTGAGCACAGGAACCTCGATTTCAGACTTCTGCCTTCTAAAGTTATGAGGCAAGAAACATTTTGGCTAAGTTATGTGGTGGAGATTTATAACGCAGGCCTGCAAAGCTCCTCCAGGGCTTCACCTCAGGCTGTGGAGAGCCTGTCTGTTCTGTGGCCCTGCAGGCCCCTGTAGCTGAGCCCTGTTTGGAGACAAGAGCAAGACTTGTCATCCGGCCTGGGCTCAATCCCTGACTCTGGCCATTTCTGGATGCACAATCCTGGAACCCACTCTTGCCATTCACAGCCTCGGTTGTTTAGTGATCCATAGACATGTGCTCTTCTACCTCTGCTGGGACCCATGGGAAGGTCCAGTGACCTACAGGGTACTGGGTGCCGAGGACAGGCCCTGACACACCGAAGGCACTGTAATAGTGAGCTGTTCATATTACTTAGAATGAGAAATTACTATGATCTGTAGCTGCACTCAGCATGACCATAGAGAGAAATTTAATTAAATACTAAAAATGTCTATAGTATTAATTGGTGATAGTTTTATTCCATACAAGGTATGTTAAGTGATGCTTAATAAAATAAACATCTAAAACACTTAGTGCATTTGTCAAAGATGCCCTTGGATGGGGCTGTCCTGACCTCAGTGGTCCCCACTGGTCCTCCAGGTCTGGCACATTTGCCCTCCTATGAATGTCGGCCTGTAGTGCATATGTCATGCCTCTCTGTTTACATCAAGTCACTGAGTGGCCTTGAACATTCTTGCTCCCCTGCCCACACCACATGGCACTTGGAGCATCGTTCAGTCAAAGTGTCTGGTTGGCTCGACAGGCCTCAATGACTTCAGCTATCTCCACACGAACTGCTTCGAGCTGTCCATCTACGTCGGCTGTGATAAATACCCTCATGAGAGCCAGCTGCCCGAGGAGTGGGAGAACAACCGGGAGTCTCTGATTGTGTTCATGGAGCAGGTAAGGCGGGTGTGTGACTGTGATGTGGCAGGGACTGGCTAGTGAACAGGGCCTTGGATTTGACCAAGAGTGTGGGGTGGAACTGGCACTTCAGGCCTCGGCCGTTGTCCCTAGCCAGGCCTGTTGCCACAAGGAATCCTGGCTTTTTTGCACTGCTGAGATCCAACCCCAGTGGGCTTGTTTCCACTGACTCAGGGCCAGTGAGATGGCGCAGGAGCCGTGGGTGCTGGTCTGTGGGGCTGGGGGTGGGTGACACTGAGTACCATGCCCAGGCCCCTCACTTCAGTCTGCTTTTACCACAAGAACATATAAGGCATGATTCGAAACTCTGGAAGAATCTTTAAATTTCTTTTTGAAAGACTTTCTTTTATAATAATGAAAGACACATTGCCGTTCCCTCCCTCTAAATGCTCCTTCTCGCGTGGAAGGCCTTTCTCCCACTGTTCCTGCCAGCTGTTGAAGCAGTTCTGTGTGTTTTCTCGCACCGATATCTGAGGTTATACTGTTGTGGCTGCCTCAGCGCCTTGAATCAGCTCCAGACATTCATCTTTCATAGGTACTTTGACTTCGGGGCAGAAGCAGAGTTGGATGGTCCTGCAATCAGTGAATAAGGCAGATGCGGCCACACAATAGCGTTTTTATTCTGCAGAGGTTGTAATCAATATTTGCACAATGAGGAGAGGTTAAAAAACAATGTTTAAATTTTAAAAGTGTATTAGAGTAAAATACACATTGCTATAAATCCCCCTCAAAGTTCACGTCCTTGTTTCTAACACACGCGTTATGCCTTGTGTTTAGATGCCCCCCCCCCAAACCTTATGTGGTCACATGTGGGGCTTTTCAGAGTTGACTGGATCTAGGATGTGTGGTGCTCTGATAAAGGATTTGGTGCTGGGGTTGATTCATGGTGCAATGAAAGGATTAAAGTTGTCCCACCATGGTGTGAGGGCTGCCCACCCTAAGGGGAGGTTACCTGGATATAAGGGACAGAAAGAGGGTCATTACTTCTTATCACTTTCATGCTGCCTGCTGCCTTCTGCCTGCCCTGCTTTGCCATGGACTCTTTCTCCTCTGCTATGATCCTCTGCCATGTCACCCTGCCTTGGACCCAGCCAACTCAGAACTGAAGCCTCTACAAACTATGAGCCAAATACCCCTTTCCTCTTTTAACTTTACGTGTCTAGTATTTTTGTCTCAGCAATGAGAAAAGTAACTAAGACAACACATATCTGCTCATTCTTTTTTTCTCCTCTTCCTCCTCCTCCTCCTCCTCCTCCTCCTTCTCCTCCTCCTCCTCTTCCTCCTCCTTCTCTCCCTTCCCTTTTGTTTTAGACAGGCTCTTGCTGTGCAGTTCAGGCTGGCATTGGACTTAAGATGTTACCCAGGCTGGCCTCAAACTCACAGCAACCTTCTTGCCTTAGCCTTCCAAGTGCTGGCATTACAGGCATGCACCGCCTCACCCAGCTTAGTTTCGAATCACCCCCTATACCTCAAATGGAGGGCCTACCAGCAGACATTCATCTTTCATAGTTCTGGAGGCTGGAAGCCAAGGTCAAGGTGCTTCAAGGCTGGCTCCCTCTCCACTGTTTGCTGCCTCTTCATGTGGCCGTGCTTCTGCACATAAGTATACATGTTGCATGTCCAGATTTTGGGAAGCAGGGCAGGGTGTCCTGAGAAATGAACGCATATCCTTCACACTGAGCTACATTCTAAGCCCCATTCTTTTTAATTTTTAAAAGTTTGAGTTAGAGACTTGTGAAGTTGTCCCAGCTAGGCTCAAACTTACAATCTTCCTGCCTCAGCCCCCTAGGATGTGGTGATTACAGTTTGGTGCCACCATGCCTGGCTCAGATCTCAGCTCTGATGCATTAAAATCCATCCTAATGGCTTTATTTTAACATCACTACTGTTTAAGTGTCCTGCCTCCAAATACAGTCACATTCTGAGTTATTAAGATTAAGGCTTCGGGTCCGATGTTAGAGGTTCCAGATGCAGCCCATCAATGCCTTGAGCCATCAGAGTCACTATTGTGTGCAGTGGTAGCAACCTGCCTGGAAGCAGCTTTGCCAAGTGCTGTGGGGCCTGGCTGCCTCCTGGTGAGGCCATGCGGTCTTCCTCAGTGACCCCAGACAGCTCTCCTGCCTCCTGTTCTCAAGCTTATGCCCGTCTTGTAGCACTGAGGTAGCTGGTTCTAGTTTAATGGAAAAACTAACTGAGTAGTGTCCAAGACCCACTAAGGAAGGAACAGAGTAACTGGAAAGCAGAAAGAGGAACAAAATGAATGGTGATCTTCAGGGCTCCTGTCATTTTTAAATATTACTCATATGGCTCTAGGTATAACCACCTCTGGAGAAGAAAGAAGGTCTTGAGTGGCACACAGAGGTCAGAAGAAGCAGGTGGCCATGGCTTGGGTGCCAGTCATTCAATACTGTGTAAAGGTAGCAAAAGTTGACACCTGAATCTAGCAACTGAGCGTGTCCTGTTAGGACTTTAAGGGTCTTAGCACAGCCTCTGTGAGCTTCTGCAGTACAGAAGAGTTGGGTCTGAATCTTCCTTCTTGGAAAACTATGAAAACACCTGTGTCAACCCTGACATTTAGGAGGAATGGTTCCTCTTTGCATATATGGAAAGAACAAAGGTCTTGTCTATAGCAACCTGCTCCTCCTGAAGTAATGACCTGATTTAGCCAAAGTGCCTCCCACAAATAAAATGCCCAGGGATAGACACATATAAAGAAGTCACAGGAAATAACAGTGTATTGTCTAGGATTGTCAAGTCATCCTACATGTGGAGACAATGAGGCATGAAGTTCAGAGCTGATTGTCATTTGACATAACAGAGTTGTTATTTTTATTTCTTTTTAATTTGAATGACTTTATTGAGATATACTTCGTGTACCATAAAATTCACCCTTTACAAGTGCACAGTGCTTGGCATATTTGTGTAATTTTACTATGCTCACTACGATCCAACTTTAGAATGTTCTCGTCTCCCCAGCAGGACCATATCTGTTAGTGGTAGCTCTTCATCCCAAGCCCTTACCTAGCCCTCTGCAAGACCTGATTAGGCAACCTTAGGCAAGCGCAGGGACCATAGTTCGATCCCCGGCAGCACATGCCAAGCCAACCCACCCCCGGAGCGGGCTGAGCCAGCCAGAGGCTGGGTGTAGTGGCACATGCCTGTAATCTCAGTGCTGGGGAGGCTGAAAGCGGGAGGATCACCATGAGTCCAAGCTGCATAGTGAGACCTTATAACAACCAAATACATTTTTAAAAAAATTAAGGTACATTTGAGTTAGTACATTTGAGTTGTGTTTTTACGAACAACTTCAAATCCTAATTTTTTTTTTAAACCTTTGGAATATTTCAATTCCAATGGGAACTTTCTGATGTGTGGACCCCTGAAAAGAACATAGTAGTTTGCACACAAATTTCATGAAAAGCCTGGTGAGTCTTCTGGGCTCTGTGTAGCACTGTGAGCATTCCTAGTGGGGAAAGAGCTAGCTCTAGGTCTGTCCCTCGCTTCCTCAGGCTGGCCCTGCCCAGAGCTGGTCTGTGACCTCACCATCTCTCATCTTGTTTGCGGAACAGGTTCACCGTGGCATCAAAGGCCTGGTGAGAGACGTACATGGAAAGGGAATTCCAAAGGCCATCATCTCTGTAGAAGGTGTCAACCACGACATCCGAACAGGTATGGTAAGAAATACTCTTTGGTAAGAAAGAACTCTCTTTGGTAAGAAACACCTGTTTTCTTGAAGTGTTTTACTTGGGTTACAGAGTGCCGGAAACTTCTTACTCAGAGCTGAATTAGGCCTTTTTCCTTCCATCTTTCTAGAGACCCCCGAGAGCAAGGCTTACAGTTTGTGCTTCCTGGACTCTCTCTGTCCCTTCTCTGGGACAGGTTTGAAGCTCTGGTGAGCTCCCAGCTGTGGTGGGAGGAGTTTCTGAGAAGTTAAGGCAGCAGCTTTACCTCTGTGCGGTTGTCACCCATGCAGGCAGCTTAATCCCAGACTAGGCAGCAAGGGCCCTGAGGGGAAGGGCAAGCAGGCAGGCCAAAGGGAGATGCAGCGGGTGGGAGCTGTCTTGCCCAGGGAGGAGTTTAGAGCATGAGAATGGAGGGTTTCATGAGTGCTGTCACCATGGCCTGGCTGGACTGGAGCCTTAAGATTATGCTTTGAGGATGGAGAAGATTAATTTTTTCTCTCCAAACCATAGGCAGTTGTTGAATGCAAAGTGTTTGTTATGTAAGGAAGAGGATAACAGTAATAACAGTAAGCGTTTGTGTTGACTTTGCAATCTCCTGTATGGCTAGGCACCCTTTGCTTGACTTTGCATGGTTCAACCACTTACTCTCCACAACAACTCTATTTTCTTGAGGCTGCCTTTAAATGAAGTAAGGAACATGAAGAAATGTAACAGGGAGACCCAGGTCCCACATGCATAAGGGGCAAGTGGCTGGGGGTGTTAGGCCTCTAGTTGGCACAATGACTGCCATTTCATGGGAGGGTAGAAAGGTCTAGAATTTTGGATAATCGGGGTCAGAAGATGATCTCTTAAAGGTAGCACTGAAATTGTAGTCCAACTCTGTTTATTGTAAACAAAGAAAGTTCCTTCAGATCTGGGGTCTTGTAAAACAAATTTGGTTTCCAGTTGCTAAATGCTAAAATAATCTCACACTTTCAATGCACACATGGAGTGGCAGCAGGAGACCGTCCCACTGTCCCTGGGTCACTAAGCAGCAGGAGCAGGTGCTACTCAAGCGAGTGAATTCCTGAGAACTTCTGTACGTGTCTTTTTTTTTTTTTTTATTTTCTCATTTCACTTCTGTCCTTGGAGAGAGGTGGGCCATCCCTTTCCCCTTATTCAAGCAGCAAGTAGAAGCTCCGTGGAGCTAACTGACCCCGAAAGATCTAGAGGGGGCGTGGCTTGGATTCAGGGCTCTGACCTTCAGGGCTGGAAAGTCAGTTGTAGAAAAGTATGCAGCTTACACACAGAGACACCATGTATTTGATTTATTGATTGAGTTTTCATTTGGGGGGATTGAACTCAGTGAACTCAGGGCTTTATACTTGCCAGGCAAGCCTTGTAACATGGCACTACACCCACAGCCCTTTGAAGATTTTACTCGGAGACAGAGTCTTGCCAGCCTTGGACTTGGGATCCTCCTGCCTCAGCCTCCTGAGAAGTTGGGTGTGGACCCCCACATCCAGCAATAAGCCACTGTATTGTTTTACTTGAAAGTGATATGGAAATGAAGGTGTTCCCACACCCCCAGGGTTTCCCTTTGTCCCCCCCAGATTGTCTTCACATAGGATACTTCAGTTTAAAACGGGAAATCTCACGTCTCTAGAACCCTACAGTCCCAAGCAAATGGGTGATTGCTTGTTTTCAAACAATTCCTGTTTGATGTGAACTGACAGCCACATGTTGGACTTGTCACTGTGGCTCTTCCTTCTGTCGTGGTCTTCATCCTCTGAGGGGAGGCCTTTGGCTCTTTTCTCGATCCTTTGGATTTTGCTCAGATGTCACTGCCTTAAGATGATGACACTGTTTAACACCACACACCTTCCTGATCCCCTGCAGGTCCCTTGTACCCTTCCTAACTCTGTGGGTGGGACAGGCGTGCCACCCCCCTACTTAGAAACAGTGGGTGCTCAACAAATACTTGCCAAATGAGTGTGTGCATGCACGTTGCTTGACAGTCTCAGCATGGCACATGAGTGGGCGGGTCATGAGTGAAGCAGACGGCCCGAGAATCCAGACCCAGAGCTTTCTCCATGCCCAGCTGGTTCTCCTCTGGGCAAAAGGGGCCTCTTTTCTACTAAGCATTTGTTGGGAGGACCCACAGGTCATGTCCCCCCAACAAATTGCTCCATCGGATTTGTCAGGAAATGGAGACTCTGGGACATGGAAGGGAGGTGAGACTGGATTCGTCTTGGCCCGTATGCTCAGTACTGTGCTTCCTGCTACGAGCTAGAAGGCCACTTATCTAAATGGATGAAGGTATCTGAAATGCTACAAAATAGTAGACTGGCACATAATGCTATAAATTACATTATTTTCATTTAGTTACTGGTCTCTTCTCTTGGTGGTATTTTCCGAATGTTCCTACCATTTGTCTGGGTCTTATAGCCAGTAACTGTAGGGTTTCAGACTGTCCTGCATGAAGTATTGTGCACAGTAACTACTCTCAGGCATCCATTTATTCATTCATTTATTTACCCATTTACTCATCCATTAATTCAGCAAATGTGCACTGAGTACCCCTGAGGTGCCAGGGGGTGCTGACTATCATTAGGAGTGAGTGAAGGGTAGGCTCATTGACTTGGTTCTCCATAGGATTTATAGTTTAAATATTGCTTAAGAGTGATTTGTAAAAGCACCCGAACCACTCCTTGGACTACTCAGTGTGTCTGTAAGCAATGTGAGAAAACATGAGGACTTTAAACTGAGTGGGAAATAAAAACGCCCTGGGGTCCCGTAAGCCGAGATGAGAATGCTTTGCCTAATGGGCTCTGAATTTCAAGCCCCTGGAATCAAGGAGACAGTTTCGATGAGCTAACGGGAAATGCATCTCTCTCCCTTTATTTCTCCCTATAAATAATTTCCCAGACTGTCCCCCTGACAGATGCACCCCGCACTTTACACGTGGCTCTTCATTTTATGGGTTTCAGCATCTCTCGCTGCTCCATGAAAGCTCTGAATTCGCCTTGATTTCTGTCTGAGGCTTATCTGATCTGACAGGTTTTATTTCAGGAGGGATTTTGCATTAAAATAAACAGAAGCATTAAGTGGAATTCCACAGGGAGGGAAGCTAGTAAGAAGACTTCTGAAGAGATGTGTGTAAGTAGTTCGGCCAAAGAGCGGGCTTAGCACTCCCACACGACTGTCCTGGGGAGGAAACTAGCCCGACCTGGTGACGGACAGACTCAGCAGGCCTGAGCTGCCCAGCCTGCCCACAGATGCTGAGCAATTCCTCTGTGTGTTCACCTTCACTGTGGCTCTGCGCACTTCTCCCGGGACACCAGTTTGATCACACCACGGGAAGATGGCAACACAAAGACGTGTCCTGGGTTACGTCAAGTGCCTGATTTTAGGTTTAAGGGTTGTCAGAGGTAGCAGCAGAGATAAAGAGTGTTGAGGGACAGTGAGGGCAAACCTCTGCCGAGAGCTTGGGGGAGGGGCTCTGAGGCAGAGGGGAGAACCAGGGGAATACGTGTTTCGGATGAAGAAACTTCATTGGGTGTGGTGGTGCATGGGTGTACTCCCAGAACTTAGGGAGGCAAAGGCAGGAGGATCACAAGTTCAAGTCCTACTGGACCACTTAATGAGATCTCATCTCAAAAGAAAAAAATAAAGAGGCCTGGCCATGTGCCTCAGTGGTAGGGCATCCCTAAATTCCATCTCTAGTGCCACACACACACACACACACACACACACACACACACACATACAGCACAGTCAGACAGACAGACAGACACACACACACACATACAGTACAGTCAGACAGACAGACAGACACACACACACACACACAGCACAGTCAGACAGACAGACACACACACACACATACACACACATACAGCACAGTCAGACAGACAGACACACACACACATACACACACATACAGCACAGTCAGACAGACACACACACACACACACATACACACAGTGGTAAACAGCTAATACTGTTGTTCTGATTCTGTGAACTCAAACATATTTCTGATAGGCTCATTCATTCTTTTAAGATTTCTCCTGGGGTACCTACTACATGCCGGTAGAAATATGAGCAAACCAGACTCGGCCTCTGGCCAGCAAAGGTGTACATTCTTGTGCATACCTGCGTGTAATTATAAAGAATATTTTTAAGTGTTCACTGCAGATTAGGATCAGTGCCAAGAAAGAAAGGAATCAGGTGAAATGTAAAAGTAGGCGGGAAAGCCCGCAGAGGTCCTTCCCTCAGGAGATGCACGCAGCCACCTTTCAGAGAGCAGGGAACGACACTCCAGTTAGAACAGTAGTTACACAGCTTCTGGGTCAGAGTCAGAGCATGGGTGACACGTGATGCTGTGACAAGGTCAGAGGCCTGAGGTGGGGTTCTGCTGTGAGCCCCTTCTGTCAATAGGGTACTCAGGTTGGTGGGGTTGCTGTTCCTCAGTCTCTGTCTCTCCCTACACACACGAGTCGTAGGCCAAGGTCACCCATCCCAGAATGCAGCCAGCCCCATGACAATGCTTAGGCCCATGGTACTTAGGGACTCTGAGACAGAGGAAGATGACAGGGACCTTGGGGAGAACACAGCACACAGAGGGGACAGGCTCACACTGACTCATTGAGCCCTCCAGCCAACTCAGGGTGCAGACTGTAGGTAGGTTTCCTTTTGTACACGAGTAATTGGATCCCCAGAGGGGTGTACTGTTTTGCATGAGATCACACAGCTAGAAGCTAACAGGCCTCTTTCTTAGGACAATTTAAATGACCTGGCCAGTGAAACTTAGAGGGAAAGGGTTAGATACAATCAAATAACTACGGAGTGCTTGGGAGTAGTAGGGAGATTGACTTGTTGAGCTTTGTACCTATCCCCTTTCAAGGCATCACTGGTCCTCAGAGCTCCCTGGACCAACCTCAGTGAGCCACCTCCTTTATGTGCCCTCTGTCCTGTCGCCTTTCCTTCTACCAGACAATGTTTCTGAGAAGATGCTTGGCCTCTTGCTCCTGGCTGGCCCTGTGTTAAGCTGTCGAGTCCTTCCGAGCCTGAGCCATTCACGGTGTGCCTCACCCGTCCATCCTCAGTTAGATGGGCATGCACCCAGATGAATAGCTATTTGGTTGATTAGGGTGAAGAGAAGTAAGTCACTAAGAAAACAAATGTCACATTCACATGAACAGGCCAATGTAGTTGCTCTCAACTTCTCTGAGTGCTCAGAGGGACAGAGTTAAGGCCCAGAGCTCATCCCCTGCCAAAAGCTGTTCACATCTACAGAAAGCTAAGGGTAGATAGATCCTGGTCACGTGAGGCACACAGGTGATCAGCAGTATGGCAGGGAGGCAGGAGTCCTGCTGCAGCTCAGCTCTGGCTTGTCAGGTCTCAACCCCTCCCTGCCTTGCAGTATCCCTGTTTCTCTGCGCCCTGGCTCAGGATGGGAGGAGAGCAGGGTGCAGGTATCAGGGCCTCCTTCAGTTATCCTTCCTTCTCTTGCCAGAAGTCAAGATATCCCACCCTTTTCAGAAATTATTTTTATGAATGTGTAGCCACGCTAAAGGAAGGCAGAAAGTCACGCATGAGGGACTTGTCAACATAAACTTTTGCAGAGCGAGCACACTGTCCACAAGTTCCAGTTCACAATGAATGGCTGTGTTGTCATGGAGGAAGCAGTGTTTGTGACCATTTCTGCAGCTCTGCCCACGTGTAGGAACACTGTAGGGAGCCTAGATCCCAAACCCCTTCCTGTTCAAACCATTAAGGCAGTTTCCAAAATAGAAAACTTCTTGGCTTTCAAAGTCCATTAAGGACTTGCTTCTGCAGGAGCTCAGATTCCCTGCTGCCTTCGTCAGAGGCCCTGTGCCAGGGATGGTTTTAAAATAGGGGTGGTGGTGTTTACATTACCAATGAACTGCTCTGAGGACCCCTGGTTTCTTTTCTCAGCCAGCGACGGAGATTACTGGCGCCTCCTGAACCCTGGGGAATACGTGGTCACAGCCAAGGCAGAAGGTTTTACGACGTCCACCAAGAACTGCATGGTTGGCTACGACATGGGGGCCACGCGCTGCGACTTCACACTCAGCAAAACCAACCTCGCCAGGATCAGAGAGATCATGGAGAAGTTTGGGAAGCAGCCAGTCAGCCTGTCCACGCGACGGCTGAAACTGCGGGCTCGGAAGAGACGGCAACGTGGGTGACCCCCAAGTCGGGCCCTTGAGATTCATCACAGACCCACGCAGATGAAACTCACCCCAATAATAGCTCCATAGAAGGCTCGCTCACTGTTGTTTTCTCTGTAATTCAAGCAATACCTGGGATCCCGTGCCTTGCAAGGGCCAGGGAAGCTGGAGACTTGGGATGTTTTCTTTTGGTTATTCCCACTTACACTAATACCTTTGACAGAGCAGCAGAGAAAGGTTGGTGGGAGTGAGAGAATTCAGCAAATGAACCTAGGAATCTGAGAGATTGTTTGGGCCTCCTGGCTAACGATGGAAGGAAACCGAAGCATACCCCACCCCACCCCCACCCCAGCCCCGTTTGCGTGACAGCAAGGGTTTCCCTGTGTGTCTGCAATTGGCACAGCTGACTTTGTGTCACTCCCAGACTCCTGCTGTCCCCAGTGTCATCATTTGAGATGCTCTCAGGCATCTGAAGAGAATCCATCCACTCTGGCTCCAGGACATTCCAAGCTGCTGACAGAAAGTCTGTGTTCTGACAATAGAACCATTACCAAGTGAGCATCAGCGAGTCTCACGAATCTGCTTAGCTTCCCTTTTCAACGAAGCATGGTGTCCATAAAAGGACAGAGAAGCGCAGTTAATTCTAGAGTGATTGTTGGACAGAAAGCACTGTGGGGCTCATGGCGTGCGAGCTGGGTCCCCAGAGAAACCCCCAAATTCGTTGCTGTTCGAGCAGCCCTCATGGTTCTGTCAGTGGGGAGAACCGGAGGTGCCAGCCTTCGTAAAGGGCCAGATAAATTAACCTGGGTCATTTTTGGTCTCGAAGACTTAAAAAGGTCCAGGACATTGACCTGAAGGCCTCTCTGCCCAAGGTGTCAAGTCGTTCATGAAAATGTGCGCTCCTGAATTGGCCTGTCCTCAGGCTAAGAATTATTTTTGATATATAGAATGCCTGATCTTCCAAATTAGGCTAAATCTGCTGACCAACGCTGAGCATTATGTGTGGAGGGTCAGCTTGGCAGGCGTCATTGAATTGCTATGTAAGGGAACTGCTGTGTCTCACTTTTATTATTGTTGCTGCCTCATTGATCTGGGAAGAATGAAAACAAAAATAAAGCAGATGGTACGATGCTTGCGTGTTTTTTCTAGGTAGAGTTGTGAGCACCCAAATGCCACCCTACCCTCACTCCCTGCCACTGCAAGACAAGCACCATGTGCCTTGGTAAAGCTTGGCACTGGCACTGACAATTCTGCATTCTCCCTTCCTTCCCAAGAAAGACATGCATGGGAGCCAGAGTAGCTCCTGGAGACACCAGTAAGCATCTTTATGGAAAAAGTCCTAATGCAACTTATTCACAATCTGTAGGATGGGTCAGCAGATTTTCTGGAAAAAGGTAAAACTGTCAGATATCAGACTATGTTAGCCACACAATCTCTGTTCTAACTTCTCAGTTCTATTTTTGCAGTACAAAAGCAAACATGTATGTATATGAATAGGTGGCTATGGTGTAGTCCAGGAAAACTTTGTTTACCAAGGCAGGTGAAGCCTGGATTTGGCCCACAGGCTGGGAGATGGTTGACTCCTGCTGTAAACCTGAGTTGTTCAGTGAGACTTTCTTAGATGATGGAAATTTTCCCTGCTGTGCTACCTAATGTTATAGCCACCAGCTCTAGTGCTACTTAAAGTGGTGGCTAGGGCAATTTAGGAACAGGATTAGTGTTATGTCATTTTTGGCCATCAGGACCCACAGCCCAGCACTGGGGAAAAGTCCAAAGCAGCAGTGACAATTCAGGACATTGTTTCCCCAGGGGCCACACAGAGCCAGTGTTTGGTGGGCAAGGTGAGCCGGTGCTGTGCTGCAACACACAGAAACTCAGAAGTGGGTAGAGCCACCATTCTATTTCAGAGGACTCAGGGTGAATAGCTCTGGCAGCAGGACAGTCCCAGGTTGCCACGCTGCCAACATCCCAGAATGGAATGAGGGAGGAGCCATCCAGCCAGAGCAGACTGCCAGCACATGGGAAGCAGACTGTGGGGAAAGTTGCTGAGAAATAGCCAGAAACACCTAAGCTCCATGCTGGTCACCACCAGAAGCCAGTCTTATCCCTAAATGCAGAGGACTGAAAGTGTCCCCCTAGTGACCCACAGAGGGGCCTTGGTCCAGCAGAGTAAGCAGGTAAGCAGCCTTGGCCTGCAGTGGCACAAGGGTCCCCCCCATGACCAGTGAGTAAGAGAAGTCAGTGGGATAGGACAGAGAAAACTGCAAGGTCCAGAAAGAACCAGTTGGACACAGTTGTTTGGGAACAACTCCAGGCTTTCCCTACCCAGAGGTGCCGCAGCAACTGGGAGAATGCCATGGAGACACCCAGAGTAAGGAGAAGGGGTGGGTCTCTATAATGATTGCAGTTTAAGAACACTCCCAGGACCATGTCCAGAGTCCAAGACCCACTCCCATGCCTAGCAGGCACCCTCCTGCAAATTTGCCAGCATTACACAGAACATTTCTGGAATCCAACATGGACATTGCCACAGACCAGGGACATCAGAGGAATTTTATTATTTTTCTTTTCTTTATTTGGTTGTTTTTCCTTTCTCTGTGTTGTTGGATTTGTTGTTTTTCTTTGTTCACTATTTAGGGTTCTTGTCTTTCTTTTTGTTTCTTCCTATTCATCTTATTTTTTCTCTTTCCTCAACTATCTCTCTTGATTTTATGATATTCCCATATGAGTGAACATTGTCTCTTCTCTTTCTGGTTCACTTCAATACTCTTTTCCTTTCACTTTCATTCTTTGTCTCTTTTCCCCAGTTTCCCAAAACTTAGCGTGATCATCCTTGGTTCCCCAGACTTGCTTCTACTATATTTCTTCTCATTCATCTCTGTTATATCTCTTATCCCTCTTAAATCCCCCACACAGGTTAAACTCACTCTACTAAGGGAAAAGTTGTTGAATACAAGTTCCTGGTATAGGTTGGATTTTGTTATATAACTGTAGAATTGTTCCTGTGGCTAAAGGTATCAAGTTAATAAGTAGCAATTTGTCAATAGCTAGGTTGTATTTGATGCTATTGTTATTGTTATGGATTATGCTAGCCAGGATGTCATATCTGCTATAATCAGTTTTTCTTTCTTATATGATAGAACTATAATTGTCAGGTCAATAATTATCACCATAGTCCAGTACCAAAGAACTTGTGCTAAGCCAAATAGATAGCAACTTCTCATTCTTAATAATTTAGGGAGAATGGGACCTCCAACCCTAGCTTTTCCAGGAAGTACCATAATGATTTCCTTAATGGTTTTACCAGCCTGCACTCCCACCAACAGTGGAGAAGTGTTCCTTTCCCCCCACAGCCTCTCTAGCATTTATTGGTTGACTTCTTGATGATAGCTTTTCTTTCTGGTGTAAGATGGTATCTCAGAGTTGTTTTAATTTGCATCTGTCGAGTGACCAATGATGTTGAAGAGTTTTTCATGTATTTATTTGCCATTTGCAACTCTTCATTTGTGAAGCATATAGTCATCTCAGATGGTCATTTTTGGATTGGGTCTTCAAATTTTGGAGGCCTGATTTAGTTTGGATAATTGTACTGTTGATTTCTGCTGGTCTTTTGAAAGGAGTAGTTAATGCTTAACATTTTTAAAAATTCTTTTGTCTTTTTCTTTTGAATGTCTTACAACTTTTTTGTTATTGTTCCATTTTACTTTTTCTTTAAACAAATCTTGCGCAATTATATTTAGTAGCCTAAGCAACTAATTTGAAAATAGCATCATGTAATAAAGCAACAATTATAGAAATCTTATTTCTTTTTCAGTGAAATTTTGTATCATTTCTAGTGCTGTTTTTTTCTATCACTATATTTTATTCTTTTGTTTGTTTGTTTGTTTGTTTTTGTGGCCAGTTCAGCAGGGCTGGTGCAGTATGTGGTGCTGGGGATTGAACCATGGCCCCTAGGCTTGCCTAAGTAGAAGCTTTAGACCACTGAGCTATGTCACTGGCTCGAATTCCTTTCTTTCTTTTTTTTTTTTCACAGACCAGATCAAGTGTTTGATTTATTTTATTTTTTTGCAGTTTTAAATCAAATTCGTAGGACAGTTTCAATAATTAACACATTACATACTCTCTTCCTAGTGGTTATTTGCCATACAAGATGCAGACATGATATCCTATTTAAAAACACTATTAGAACAAATCCCTCTATTCATTAAGAGTATGTAACTATATATCTATCCTAACCATTTTGAATATACAAATACAAAATGGACATTTGTCTGTATCCCCTTTTTTGTTTAGTTTTGTCATTTGAATATTATAGGTGTGTTAACTCAGCAAAATATTCTAAAAGAGTCCAGTAGTCCATAATAGTATTGGTCTTCCTCTTGACTGGTACTGTCAGAAACTGTAGGGACCTGAGTCCCCTACAGTTCAACATAACACCATGGCTTTACTTCTTATACTTCATTTTTATACTTTTCTGCTGGATGGTTAAGACCAAGATAAAGCAAGACCTATGCAACAAGAATTGTAGCTTTTGGATCTGATAAGGTCAGTCAAATACCCTTAGGATTTTTCATGAGATCCTGTACCTCAGATTGTAGATTTTTTGTCAGTGTCAGCCATGTGGATGAGTCACGACCATTGCTTGGCCAATGTGCTTTCTGTGAAAGCCTGAGAGAATGTTTTCTCTCCATGTGACTCTCCTTAGGCACACTCTACGTTGTCGATCACTTTCTTCTTTGGCCCCATAATCTCCTTGATAAGAAAATTTGGGACACTACTGAGTTACATTACATTACAATCCAAGTTCTCATATGTTCTGAGTCTTAATTGACCTTTGAAAGCTAGGGCCAAAATGTTGGCTTTCCTTGTGGCCCTCCTTTTTCTCTAATTTTGGTCTGCGAACTTAGGTTGTTAACCTTCCAAAAGAGAAGCTTATTGTTATTACCATACAACCTAGGCTGTCAAGCTTAACCTCACTGTCTGTCTGAATATCAAACATCTTAGGCATAACATGGAACAGATATTTTTCATCAAGTATTGATATGTTGAACTTTAAGTCCCTACAGGATATGATGAAAAAACATTTAAAAAATTAAAATATATTCGAATTTCTTATTATTTTTTTCCTGTATTTTAGGGAAGGGTCAACAGGGTGTTCAGGGTCTTACTAGTAGATTGGACTCAGTGATTCTCCTGTTTACAGCCTCCCAAGTGCTGGGATTGCAGGCACACACCACCACGCCCAGTCTCAATTGCCATCTCAGCGTGCCCCGGGGGCAGGGCTGGCACAGCAGGCCCAGGGATTGAACCCCTGGTACCTGCACCTGCTTGCAGGTGCTTTAATCCACTAAGCTTGGCCGGTCCAATTTTTTTTCTTTAACACCTTCTATCCCTCTCTCAGACAGAAGCTTTCCTTCCCCCAATAAACATATTCTTCTCAATAAATAAAAAATAATAAAAATAAATAAATTAGGTAGGTTCATGGGGTAGGCACAAAGACCAAGACCCACCTACACCTAGAAGACAGCATGGAAGAATAGATATTTTCTGGAGAAGCCTCAACATTAGTAATAAAGCTATCTACTGTTAGATTTTTCTGATGCAGTAAAGAGAAGGAAAGATAAAAAGAGGCTTTTATAGACTCTGAGGACACGGAGAGAATCTGAGGGAGAGAGGGGAATCCTCTGACCTGAGACAAAGGGAGGCTGAGATGTTATGGTCTTCTCGAATTTGCGTGTCATCCTTGCGCAGGAGCCGTGCTAATCTTCTCTGTATCGTTCCAATTTTAGTATATGTGCTGCCAAAGCAAGCACAATGTTATGGTCTTCTGCTAGGTGTGAAGTTTATGGGGCAGTTTCAGTGACACATAAGGAGCTAATTGTGATCTCCCTTGTATGCATGGGAAAGATATCCAGGACTGGGATGGGGAAGAAGGAGGAAGTGGTCATTAGGAAGATAAGCTGTTGTTCTTGGGATTCATGTTGTATCAGGGCCATGATAATTGAGCAGTTTGTATTCTGGCTGGAACCTATTATCTACCATAAGAAATCTACATACCCTAATACAACTAACAAAATAAAATAAGAATCAGAAAATAGAAAATGACCAGACACAAAGCAAAAAGCAACCAGAGGCATCCAGCT